GTTATCAGATGGGATACTCCTACGACATCAATGAAATCAAAAAGGTTGTTTTCCAAGAAAGTTCTATACAGATCTGCATTTACGCAATCATTTAAAAACATTTTGTAGAAGTAATCAGCGACAATCATATTTTTTAAAGTGCTTGTAATTTCTAAACAAAAACCAATCGGACCTATGTTCATATCATCTGTAAAAATTTGTCATAAAGCTTGTAGAACACTCTGTATATCTGAACATGTTTATAAATTAAACGTAGTCTAATATATAAAAGTTAAATAAATGAAATATGTAAGAATTCATATAAGGCACTGATATAACATTTTTCGATACTGAATTATTATTATTATAATTATTATTATTACATAATAGCAAGGACAGAGGCAAAGCCTATTTAGTACAATAAAATGTACAAAATGACAGTTAACAGCTTTTAAAGTAAGAGTAAAATAAATAGCTAACATAAAAGAAAAAGAACAAATAAGTATGTGAACAGAATACCAAAATAACAACACAAATCACATCTCCGCTTGTTAGCGGAACAAGCCATAAACCGCAGACGAAAATACACTAGGCGCGCACTCACTGTAAAAATTCTGATGACATCCATGCATCCAATCTGTCCTTGAAAGAGTTGACCGATGGGGGTAGTAACAACAGATGAAGATAAGCTATTCCAATGGTAGAACACTCTATTTGGGAAGAAATTTTGACGCAAAGATGTTTTGAAGTTTTCTCCCGACAATTTAAACTGATGACCACGTAAACGTTCATCCAAATTTAACCTAAATAAGTCTCCAAAAGTTAAGCTGTGATGATTATTTAGAGTCTTGTACATTTGGATAAGATCACCACTTAGACGTCTAACATTAGTACAAGTAATTTTATCCAAACGCTGATGATATGAAAGGGATCTAAATTTGGGGATCCATTTTGTGAATCTTCTCTGCACGCTCTCTATCAGATTGATATCTTTTACCAGGTAAGGGGACCATATGTTCACGCAATATTCCAGATGCGGACGAATATATGACATAATTTTAAGAAGACCTGATTGTTTGAGCTCTGGAAACACTTTAAAAAATAAGACATGGAGTTGGCTTTTTTCACAACGGTGGAAATATGTTCAGACCAAGTGAGACTGGAATTGATTGCTACACCCAAATCATTCTGGTTTTCGACAGTTGTTATAAGTTGACCTTGACCGAAAGCGTATGTTGACTTGAGATTATTTTTACCAATATGTATAACAGTACACTTATTTAAATTCAGTAGGATGAGCCAATCATAGCACCAGTGCTCGATGAAATTAATATCATCTTGTAGAGTCTGATGATCTTGCAATGCATTTCCAAATATCTTAGTATCATTGGCATACAGCGCATGCTGCGATTTGAGCTTTAGCGAGAGATCAGCTGTATATACCAAAAATAAAACTGGTCCCAGAACAGAACCTTGCGGTACCCCAGGCTACTTGAGATTCCGAATGCGATTTGCCAACTCGTACTGAAAACGTTCGATTTGTGAGCGAACTATCTATCCAGGCAAGTAATGGGCCCCGTATACCATTATGTTCTAATTTATATAATAGCCTGTTTTTCGGGATTCTATCAAACGCAAAATCAAAATACAGAACGTCGACTGGAAATCCCTTGTCTATCCATAGTGTCCACGAGTTCACAGACGATAAAAGGTTCATAAAGGTAGAACGGCCAAGAAGGAAACCAAGCTGTGTATCAGGAATAATATTGTGAGCAAGTAAGTAGCTGATAAGTTCCTCCTTTATTATACGTTCCAGGGTTTTTACGCACAAAGATATTAAACTTATTGGTCTGTAGTTATTTGCATCCAGTTTATCGCCTATTTTAAAGATGGGGGTTACTAATGTAGTAAGCTATATTTTAGGAAGCTGAGCTGTTCTTAAAGAAGTTTGCATTATGAACGAAAGAGGCTTCGCAAGGGCTGTTGCAGAGATCTTTAATATATTTGCAGAGATCTCATCTGGACATGGAAAGGAGTTAGTACGGAGCCGTTTTAGATGTTTTAATACCACCTCTTCAGAAATGAAGATATTTTCTAAAGAATTTTCAACACGTGGATTTGGTAAAGCAGGAAAGGATCCAAAAGGTTCAACACAAAATACTGACTGGAACATCGAGAACACTTCAGCAGCTTCTAGATCACTAATAGAGATAGATCCATCGGATTTTTGACCATATGAGTTTTGACAGCAGTCTGCAGTTGACTTCAGTATACTTATATAATGTTAAATCTCGATTAGTATTTAGTTAACGAAAATGATAGTTAGATTTTTACCTATACTTACTTATGAATCTGTAACGTTTAATATAGGTTGTGGTAATCCATTCGTCTGATCAGTTAACCAAGTTTTTTAATCGAGACCTACTAAAATATTGTCTCTAAAACAGAACAGAGTAGAAACCACTGTGGCAGCTTAGTAGTTTATGAATTTAATACAATATTTAAATTAAAATTTAAAGAGAATGTAAACCACGTTTGAGTAAAAAAATACTCAATCATAGTTAAATTTAAAGAAAGAGTCAACTCTTAATTGGTTAGAATATAATCAAAAATCACTCTCTTGATACTTAGCAGAAACTTGGATTTAAGTAGAATTCACTCACTTCTGTTGCAATAGTTTCACTTTTAGTTGTACTCATACTAATAAAGTAAATATTTCACTTAAACAGATGTGTACAGAAATTGATAAATTATTGAGTAAAATTGAGTGATTTTTTTACAATGCAGTTATTCCATGCCGAATTTATTATTTAACATAACTTCATCAAAGTTACAGAGAAAGAATAACACAATATCACGCTTACTCTAATTGCACAAGTTCAAAGACAGGTTTTCTACAGTTTGGTTATTCCCCTACCTATACGAAAACAAGTCACTGTGCAGCAGTTCTGTTCCAATAATTGTTATTAAATTTCAGTGTTTATACTAACGACTTCAAAAATAATCTAATCTCAAGAGCATCTGGCAGTATATAAGTGTATTAAATATGTTGCTGGTTTCTAGTCACCCCAAAGATATAGATTAACAGTGATGTACAACGTACTGTTGGTATTTCCGCTTATTTTGACGGTTTCGAGGTGAGTCCACTTTATGAGATATTTCTATAGGTTGATATTATAAAGCAAATTAATTATGTGGAAGTATTGCAGCAATATTCCAGATAACGCTGTTTATTTATAATGTAAAGAAGAAAGTAGTATTGATTCAACAGTGTTAATTTACAATTACTTTTTGATAATTATGTGATAGCAACAATTCTGATTTCATAGAAATAAATTCCAGATGTTAGAGAGTGAAGGCTCTCTAACAAGTGTCATAGTACCGATTATTTATGAGTGATATAATAAGTAAAAATAAATTTGTATTAAATAATTTGGATTTGTATAAAAGCTAAATAAATAATTGAATTTATTATTTATTTAATTCTTTAGCATTTGGTTTATTACTATTTGATTTAATTAAGTATTCCTACTACATTGAACGGAAATAATTTGAATAAATAGCTTACACAAAGCTTATAACTTTAGTATTGCCTAGCCAGAAATATCAGAAAATTTAGCAAATTTAGAAAATGAAATTCAAAATTCAAAGGACTTCGTTTACCTTGTGATTAAGTATACTGGCCAGTCTTCTAGACCTACTAACACGACAATCGGAGAACATCGGAGCTGTATTAGAAAAATCGAAAATTTGTAAACATAAGTGCTAAAAGTCATGTAATTCAATAAAATAACATAAAAGTTTTGGAAAGGAGGTAGTTCGGAAAAAGAAAAATGAGTATAATAAATCCACATTAAAATATATAAATATTACATAAATACCTTTATTTTACCAAACGGTAGTACATATTCCTTAAATATTGATGACGAGGTGAGTAACATTAGAATAAATATTCTACAGGATTTAAGCCTGCTTTTTCCAAGAGACAACAAAAAATTCTATATTATACGTTATCAAAGGCGACACACAAACCAGTTTGACTGATAGGCCCAAATTCCTAAATCTCGCTAAAGTTCCACTCACATTTATCTCCTACTAAACTCACCCTAATCGTGTTCATAAACTTCAATGAGTCACTTAAATCGTATTCAAATCGTCCTCACAAATGAGTGCTAGGTTAGTGACATATTAGTGGTGTCGGACGTGTGCTTATATGTTCCTAATTTATTAATTTTGTGGTTTCACAATATTCTAGCAGTATATTTTACAAATAATTATGTCCAGGTATTCAGTAAAGGATATTATTTTTTAGAAATTAGTTCTGTTACATACGTCATAAACGATTACTTGTCACTCATTATATTCTGTATGAAGTACTTAGTGGAAAAAATGAACTAAATATGATTATTATTACTTGGGAGATCATGGTTTACATGAGGATCGTTTTTACCTGGAATTAGACCTTTTGATTTTTGTTATTTATTATTTAAATGTAATTTATTATGTATATATTTTCAACGCGAGTTATTCAAATTCAAAATAAAGAAATACTGTGACATATTTTTGGAAATATTTGAGTAGCCAACTGTTCCCTTTTCTAGTAATTTGTGATTTGGTGCACACTCAAGTTAATCACTCATTTATACACTTTTCTGAATACCAGAATTGAGAATGAGATGATAAGGTGAATGAAGCATAAGTTTAATATGAGTGAAAAGTTAGTATAGATTTAAGGAAGTCTCTGAATTTGACCCTTAAAATACTAAACATAGTTCACTTTATCTTTAAATTATGTTAATTTTAACCAAGATGCAACCCCTGCATACGTTTAGTAGTCGAGTTAAGGGAGATTCTCTTATTAAATTCAATGAGGAAGGAGATTGTATGTGTTAAGGAGATGTATCGGGTACGGGGTACGTCTAAAGTCTAACGAAAATTTCTGTAGATTCGCTAGTGACTAAAGTGGTAAGCTTTTAGATTTGGCAACGTTGCACTTGGCTGGCGCGCTCTGCTCGGCGTTCGCTCGCTCCAGTTCGATCATTCTGTTTGTTTGGACACCTGCGAATTTCAAATAATACGCTACGTCGAGACCGCGGCGTTGCCGCTATTACGCATATGGAGGATAAGTTAATCAACGACAGCAGTTTGAAAAAGAATTATTATAAATTATGTATCTTACAAGTACCTAATCGATTTCTACAAGCTGTCGTACGGTTCCTTAGATATCGGTTTCCTATTTATACAAGTTGCTGTGAAAACTGTTCGTCAGTTGTTGCGTATTCTAAGAGGAAATCTGCATTCTCATAAGACTCTGTACTAAATCGTGAAAAATTATTTTATTAATATCTCTTCTCTTAAGTATCCAAACTAGTCATAATTTTTTTTGGGGATTTTCTTCATATTAATAAGCTTATATTAATTTTTTTATGAATATTTGTTCGTCAATTCCAAATCAGATAAACCTCCTTAAAGATCATCGGTGTCCCTTAGCTTGAACTCGTATTTTATGTTTAAACTACGTACATTTTCAAAATCACGTATAGAATTCTGTTTATGGTTCTAATTTATTTATATGGAGATATCAATATTTATTAATAATACTTATTTTCCCTATAAGATAATGCATTAAGGCCATTTGTCGCAATATATCCGGTAAATGATTGGCACTCGTAATATTAGATAGTAATTAAAAATATGTTTACGGTTTATTGATATACAAATAACAAATACAAAGTTGACCTTTTACCACCAAGAAATATACAGTTTATAAAAATTTTAATAATGACTGCAGATTAAAGCAAAATCTGGGAGTCATTTAGCATATTTTTCAAGATTTTCTCATCACAAATAGAATCAAAAGTAGTTTGACATTTCTTTGAAAAATAACTGTTTTTTTACTGTTATTTATTTGTTTGTGGCATATTAAATTGGTTTTTGCCTAATCAAATGTCACACACTAAAAAAGCGGACAAATAAAAAATACACATACATCACACATTTCAAATGTACTTGAATAATTTCAAATAATGAAAAATTTTTCAAAGCGTTAGCTACAATAGAAATGCATTTTTTATTTGTATGTTTTTTTCAGTGTAAGATGCTTGATTAGACAAAAATTGTAAAATGCAAATAACCATTGACTGATACTTTTAGCGTAAGATTTAGGGTTTATTTAACAACTCTTTTTTCGCAACTGAAAAAATATCCAATATATAGAGGAAAACCTGTAATTTATATTAACACTAGATATTATTATAAAAATTACATATTTTGTTGATGATTTTTATGTAACTATATTACATCGTTCGAAAGATAATAAAATCAGAAGGAAAATATACGCAGCAAAAGTTTACAGAGTGTGTCATTAGAAACAACAAACTTTAGCGACATTTCGTATAAGAATATGTTAAAGATTTTTTTGTATCTCTTATAACAACTGAGATATATGGGTCGATAGAAATATGAAATATCCTCTTTTAATAGAAAATCAATCTAGTTAGCCAGGCTTTGTTTACACTATTAAATTTAGCTCGAAAAAATACCACGAGACACATATATTAGTTAGTGTCAAGCATGTCAAAAATAAAGAGCTGATTCCTCGTCGAAGTTTAAAAATATTTTCTTATGTAAAAATTAACCTTTAAGCTGTTGGTCAAAGAAAATATTCTACATTCTATTTACGATATTGAAACGACATTTTGAATCTACAGGGTGTTTCACCTAAGAGGGATTCTTCTGTAACTCTGCAACTGTATTAATAAAAAAAAATGGTTTTAAAAAAGTTACTTGGAATCATATGGGCCATGTAAAGAAAATATTTTTTGCTGTACAGGATGTTCCATTTCGCGCGGGCGCGGTATAACTTTGTTATTTTAAATGGAACACCCTGTATATTATTGTGTTTTTCAATTCCTTAGTTAATATTAGATAGAGTTTATTAAATGTACATGGTGTTTAAAACTTATCGTTTTCGAGATAATCAGTTGTTTTTGAAAAAAATCACAATTTCAGTTCTCTAAATGAGACTAGATAGCGTCTAAACCGTAAGAGCTAGAAACCTGCAGTTTTCACAGTTCGTTTTGGCATAAATTACTCTATCTTGTCATATGTGAGCAAAACGTGTACGTTATTCAGACTCGGAAATTCTGAGACCTACATTTAATAATATTACGAGTTGAAACACTTTTTTTTTCAAATGGAATGACAACCCATATTAATTGTCATGGGTGAATGCAAAATTGAATGGCCTTTCGACTGATATGGGGGTGTGTTGTGTATCTTTAACAGTTTTCCAGAAACATCAGGTTCTTTTCTAAAGTCCGAAATGTAGCTATGTAACAGTTTAGCTTTTAAAACCATATGTGCATGAGAAATTGCAACTTCAGAGCTTTCTTTCATGCGTTATAAGATAATAACTGTTTAATTTTAGAATTTTTTTTAATAACAATATAACTTTTAATCGCCTTTTAATTTCATCACTTTCATGCTGTAACTATTTTTTCAAGAAAAAAAATCGACGTTTTTTCGTCTAGATAGCTTTGAAAAAGTGGATTATTTATATTTTTTATAGTGCTGTATAGTCAATAGCCAAAAACGCGTATCAAATTTAGTACTGATACTTGGACTGAGAGACGCTCTTACATTTTTGGCACATTGCTGTATTACACCCATAAATCGATGGAAACATTGCTTCCTTTTTCTTAATTCAAAATTACATATCTGTTTTGTGGTTGATGAATAAGTGGACTGTATCTTTTTTATTTGTATATTTTGTTAGATGAATGATACATACACAACTTGACAAGACGTTATATCTATTTTTTTACTTATTTATTTATTTTCATAGTGACACATTAGGGCCTACTTGGTTCGGCTCAACAATATCTATTGCCTCTTGCGTAACAATGCGCTTTAATTAATTTACAGAGGTGTCACTTGGAATTAAAATTTTTAAGAACTCGTTTTTCAGATATGAAACTGCTGTTCCTAAAATAACTGTTTTTTTTTACTGTTACTAAGTTTCTAGCGGGGCAAAATCTGTACATACGGGCGGGATAGTCCTGCTGTCTTGTAGGACATTGAACTATCAGTCACTACAAACATATGCAATCGTAAATTGGATAATGTGCAAACTGTA